GGGAAAGCATTCAGTACTCACAACAGTTGCAAAATACATGAAATAAATCACATTGGAGAGAAACCCTATGTATGTTACTAAAATGGAAGAACATTTACAAGACACAGTTTTAAAATACATGAAAGAAGTCACACTGGGGAAAATTATGAACGTAAACAATGTAGGAAAGCGTGTGCTGCACTTAGATAATTCCACAATATACAAAAGAATGTACACTAGGGGGAAGCCCTATGAATATAACCAGTGTATGAAAGCATTTATTACACAATTGTCACAGATGTGAAAAGTCACACCAAGTAGAAACTACATGTATGTAAGTCATTGGAGAGAATTTTCAAAGTTTTTATTTTGTTGGCATAAAACTCACATTCAAAAAATTAAATAAGATAAATAAAACTCACATTCAAATGAAAACATATGTAAGACTGTTGGAAGATATTTACTAATGTTTCATTCTATTAGCCTAAATGAACTCTCACCTAGGAGAAACTGTATGTAAGTAATTTGGAAAAGTATTCACTCATGTACTATCAGTTACATACAAGAAGTCGCACTGGGGAGAAATGCTATCCATATAAGATTGTTTTGAATATCTGGTGAAAATTTCTCATGTATAGGAGACCTGTAGAAATTATATGAAAAGTTTGATGTCTATTTTTGTTTGTGTTTCAGAATAATACATAACCAGATGGAGATATTCTAAAAACTATAAATACTATGTAGTGTGTTTTTCTCATAAATCTTTGCAGTACTTATCTATAATGGTTACTATAAAAATAAAGATTAAATTGATATAAAAGACCCAGCAATAAGTCCAAAATTAGCACTATGCTTATATGATATGGTCTTATTGTCTGTTATTGAGAAATAACCTGCTAGAGTAATTGTGGAATCATTGACACTCTATTCTGAAATGGTTATATATAAGCTATTTGATTTTACTTTTTGCAGGCTTGGCTATTTAAATGACATTCAGAGTTTTCTTTTATTCTGATTCTACAGTAATATTTCAATAGATCTTCATAAAGATCAGGTTATAAGACTTTGTCTTAGTATGAAACTCATTTTACTATTTGTAAGTTAAACTTTCCTTGTGTAATCTGAAGCCTTTTTGTAAAGGTTTTTCTTTTTATTAAGCATAAAAAATTTATTGTATTTTGTGTTTTTGAAAGACTGTTATTACTACGTTAATGGATTGTGATAGTTCTAAACATGTTTTTTTAGCTCAATAAGAGTGGTAAATTTTTTCTTTTACCTTTTTAACAAGCAATATGTATATGTGATATGTGTCTGTTTGTACAATAAAGCTGTTTCTTTTTCATACTACCTCCTTAAATACCCAGTTTTTCCCAAGAGTACAAGAAATATTTAAATAAAGTTGGTATTTTAATTATCACTTGCCTTGCTGCATATGCTAGCCAAAACTCTAATAATAACCAAGTCCTTTTAAGTTTTAAAGGCTTTTAAGTTTTGGAAAGTATTTTTTATTAGAAAGGAAAATTAAAATTGAAGAGACTAGGGCTCAGGAGATAACTTACTGGTCTAAGGGCTTGCCCAGCAAGTACAAGGACCCAAGTTCGATCCCTGGTACCACAGGCCTGTAAACCCAGCGCTGGGGAGTCTGAGATAGGAGGATCACTATGAGTCTGAACTGCATAGCAAGACCCTGTAACAAATAAATAAGTTTTTTAAATGTAGAGGTTATCAAATAGTTCTGGCACCTGTAATCCTAGTGCTTGGGAGGCTGAAAACATGAGGATCACTACGAGTTCTATCTGTGTAGTGAGACCCTGTAGGCCATATACTAAACATATAAGAAATAATGATAACTAAAACAATCTTAAAAATGAAACAAAGGGGATACTGAGCCAAGACAGGATATAAACAGGACCTTGAAGTTAAAAGACTTCCCCAAGCAGTAAGTTTTTCTAATTAAGAGAACAATCTTATCTCTAGGTTGACATTTACAACAGAAACTAAAGGGTTGCAGCTACAGTCTTTACTTTATAAACTAGGTTCAGAGCCAGGTCTTCTCAGCAGTAGCTTTATCTTGCCATAGAGATAAAGAGCTACTTTGCATGCCCAGTCTCAATCGCCCTCTCAGTGTGCCTGAAGGCAGGCTGGCACAGCACACCAGGGATGAACTCCTGTCCCTGAACCTGCCTAAGCAGGTGCTTTAGTCTGCTGAGCTATATGACCAGTCCCCCTTTGTTTGTTGGAAAACCAGATAATTGGGCCAGGGATGTAGCTCAGTAGCAAAGTGCTTGCTTGGGAAATACAAGGTCCTGAGTTCAATTCCTGGTATATGCCGCAAAATACCCGAATCAGATAATTATGGGCTGTCTAGTGGAACTTTGTGGATTTACTCCTGACAGTGCTGACCTTGCTGAATGCAAAAATCGTATGCCATTGTCCCTCTTTTCAAGCTATTTGCTGTACAATTGTTTAAGAGGTTATGGAACTGACCAGTTCATGATAGTCCACCACATAGTCTCAGGTAAATCTCCGGATGTGAGAAAAATGCAGACAAATTTTCTTTTCAACGATAAAAGACAGTCTGTAGTCCAGTAGCCAATGTAGTTCTTTCCAAGAGAAAATGTGTGAACCTGGTCTTGGCTGGCTGCACTTCTTTCAGCATTCTAGTCTTCTGAACTTTGACCAGAATCTCCCATCAAGTACAGCTTAAAGCATTCCAGGGCCTCTTTTTCATCTGCCTTCTTCAAACCTATCTACACTTTCTCCACAAAGTCAGTACTAGCTCATCAAGACTCATCTGGGGAGAGAATAAATGATCCACTGCTCAAGCCAAATGAATACTGTAGAGTACTGGCATGCCTTTTACTCCAGAAAACTTCCTGGCAATTGCTATATCCCATCTAAAATTATAACATGGCAAATGTAAAAAGGTTTTTTTCCTGCTTTTCTCTATCTGTACACTAAAAGTAAAAGGTATGTGTTATGGTTTATGTCTAGTTGTCCCTCCAAAGCCTCATGCAATCATGGGGCGGGGACTTCTAGGATTTGAGACTTAATTCATGATCCACTGGGATTATGGGTTTTAGTACTGCTGGGATTATGGATGTGTGTACCTTCCCCAGCCTGAGGCGATAGCCTGAATGCAGTTTAAGGGTGAGAGACTTCCTCTCTCTGTTCCCATTGTGCTGTTCCGCCGCCATGAACTGCTAGCCTCTGCCATGTGCCTTTCTGCCTTGGATCCAGCTGCGTATGGACCGAAACCCTCAGTAACTGTGAGCTGAATAAACCTTTCCTTCCTTTATTTTGGGTGTCGGGTATTTGTCCCAGTAATGAGAGAAGAGTAACTGAGACAGAATTATATGATAATTATGCACAGATACTAAACTTCCTCTTTTTCATAGAGTTGCCTGAAGGATTCCTTTTGGCTGAAGAATTTTCCCTGTTCGGTGTCAAACATTAGTAGCTCTTATTTTGTTCCGTTTTATCCCCAGTAGTTAATGAATCACATTTTTATTGGACGCCATCATAACGAGGTAGTGCACCATCACATCTTCATTAATAATGCTGGAGTCCTAGGTTCTGTGTCTGGCAGGCACTTTCCAAAACCTAACATCCGCATGTGTTCTCATCCATGGGTGCATATAAAAGATAGTCTAGATTTGGGGTCATCTTCCTGTTATTCACTAATGTCTCTGTTATTTGCTTATTCCATAACCCTAGAAAACAGACTCCATGATTTGGTGACTTTGGAGTATAATTGTACCTGGAACTAACTTCTGCTTCTTGAGTACAGTGATACCTTTGTTCCTAGTTTCTTCTTTCCAGTGTTGTAGTTGCAGATCAAATTGGTTCACAACCAAATTAATTTCCTTGTAAGCTCAATTTTTCTTTTTTCTTTTCTTTTCTTTTCTTTTTTTTTTTTTTTTTGTGTGGCTGTCCAGCTCAGCCTGCCCTGATATGTGGTGCGGGGAATCAAACCATGGTCCCTGCACTTGCCTAAGCTTGCCTAAGCAGGTGTGATAGACCATTGAGCTATCTTGCTGGCCCGTAAATTTGACTTTGAACTTAACCATTTAATTTTATTTGGTTTTCATCCAATTGAGTTTATAACTAGCATCATGGAAAGAATTGTTTGGAAACTGAGGTACCGCTGTACCATGGCAGTCCACCTTCATGAAAGTCTAGGCCTTCTGGACCATTGTTTTCTCTTTCTTCAGGTACTTTTCCCCTTCAGGAGATCCTCCTGGCATTTAGTTATTCCCTTCTTATACTAAAATTGGTAATTATCAACATAGATGATCTCTGATGGCTTGCTCATAATACTGAAGACCATGCAATGATCTGTGTTTCCTGTTCATATATTCTCACCCTCATTAATAAAAAATTACGAGATAGCCAAATATAATTTCTCTAATTATCATTCTAAATCCTTGAAAACACTTTAATATTTCTTTGCCCACCTATGCCATGTAGTGAACTCCTTGTTTTATAAATAATAAAATTTCTCAACTAAATACTACATTATGATATTCAGAACACAAGCTGAAGGATGGTCTCAAAATAATGTCACTCAAGAATCAGTAGCAGGCTGGGGAGATACCTCAGTAGAATAAGCGCTTGCCTGGCAAGCTCAAGGTCCTGAGTTCAATCCCTGGTTCCACAAAAAAAAAGAAAAGTATCAGTAGGAATTCTGATCTTAAATAAATCACCTGAACACTTGTTAAACACCTTAGACAAAAATGTTTTCTGTAAATTCTAATTGCAGCTATAATTGTGGTTACTACATTGTGCACCACAATAGTGACTGCAGAAATTGCTTTAACTCACTTGATTGAAACTGCTGAAATTATGAATAGCTATTTCCAAAATGTTGCCTCAGAATTATTGACTCAGATTATTTTCAATA